CTTCACAACTAAAATAGCTTATAACATTGTTCTGTAGGCATTTAAAGCCCTCCTCATTAAAATAAACAAAAACTTCAAATCTGTAAGAAAAAAATCCTAAATCCCATCCCTGCAATCTTCACTTTATTCCTTGAAAGAAAATACAGTTCTTGTTCAATAATCTTTCTCCAGATTCTTTGGTATATTCTACCAGTATCCAAGCATAAAGTGACAAAGGGGCTGAGTGTTCTGATTTCAGTGATGAGACTAAAGAGCAGTAAAAAGCAGTAGACAGCCATTTGATGTGAGAAGTTTTTCTAGATATTTCTGTAGCAATAACTTTGGAAGTACAGATAGAGTACATAATTTTGCCAGATGGCATCAGTTCAGCCTCTTATATTTTTTTTTTTTTTGTCAGATAATCACTTTATAGTGTAAGAATCTAAAGAAACGGGGGAAAAAAGGGAACCATTATATTTCTGAGTAATTAATTTTATTTATTTCAGATTCAAATATCAAATACATGTTTTTCTCAGGAACATGAACTACTAAGTTTTAAACTTGATTATAAATGGGCATTCAAAACTATTTGAAAGAACCTCTGCATGCACAAAACATGCATAAAAGAATATATTCCTCTGATACTGAAATGAGGATTGTGTCATCTACCAATAATCATCTTGATCATACATTTGAAAGGTTCTATCCAACAAATCTAAAACTGAAACACTGGTATAACAACAAGCACAGACTTCTTAGTACCAACCTTTAGCCAATACTTTCTTATTCTAGTGGGTCTCCTCAAGGTGAAAGGCTTTGTAACTGTTCATAAGAGTATTCAGGATCACAAAATAATTAGCAGTGTATTTTTAAAAATCTATCATCAATCTACATTTTAAAGTATGTCTAATTATCTAAATTCAGCATTTACCTGTACTTGCTAGAAAGTGCAATATCAGATATTTAAGGTTTTCTTAATCTAAACAGAGAGGATTAATTGTGGTATTTTAAATAACTATATGGAATAATTGACAAAACTGTTGCTATTTTCATGGCTACTGTTACACACTTATCTGAAAAAAATATTAAACATTACTAAATATTCTCCTTAAGTAGCTTTACATGTAGTTTTTTGTGTTTTTCTTTTAAAGAAAACCATCATCATCAGAAGAACCGTGTTGAAAATGCTATTGAATAAATGATGTGATACAAAATGTCTCACAGATTATGTAAATAGCTTGAAGAATAAATGTTTTTAAAAACACATAATCTGGTAAAAATCTCCTTCACCACACACAACCCAGACAGCATTCCCCATCCTCCCTCCCCCCACCAAAAAAGTGGTAGACACTAAATATCTCCAGATGCTGGTAAAACAACTTCCTTATTTTCCTTGCAACATTGGAATAACTTTATTGTGCATTCCTTTTCCAGCTACTCAGTTGCCTTACTCTTTCTTTTTGACTCTTTCTCTTGTGTGTAAGTAGCAAGACCATTTTTATAGATATGCAGACAGAGAGGAACACTGCTTCATCTGTTCAACTAACTGCAATACCCAATTGTTTCAAACCTTTGAACAATTAGTAGCGACTCATCTCTGTACTTTCTATGTACAAATTCTAATTGGCATAATTTCACATCTAGTGAAAATCTAGTGTAAGGCTGTGAGAATATTAAAGGGAGGGCAGGGACAGGTGACATTATAGTGGGGGTCTGCTACAGGCCACCCAACCAGGAAGACTGTGCAGATGAGGCCCTCTATAGACAGATAAGAGCAGCCTCATGTTCACAAGCCCTGGTCCTCATGGGGGACTTCAGCCACCCCAATATCTGTTGGAGGGACAACACAGCAAGGCATAAGCAATCTGGGAGGTTCCTGAAATGCTTTGATGATAACTTCCTTCTCCAAGTGACAGAGGAGCCAACAAGGAGAGGTGCTATGCTGGACCTTGTTCTCACCAACAAGGAGGGGCTGGTGGGGAATGTGAAGCTCAAGGTCAGCCTTGGCTGAAGTGATCATGAAATCATGGAGTTCAAGATCCTTAGGGCACCAAGGAGGGCACACAGCAAGCTCATTACCCTGGATTTCAGGAGAGCAGACTTTGACCTCTTTGGGGATCTGCTTGGTAGAGTACATTGAGACAAAGCCCTGGAGGGAAGAGGGGCCCAGGAAAGCTCATTAATATTCAAGGTTCACCTCCTCCAAGCTCAGGTGTGATGCATCCCAAGAAAGAGAAAGTCAGGCAAAAACACCAGGAGGCCTGCATGGATGAACAAGTCGCTCCTGGACAAACTCAAACTGAAAAATGAAGCCTACAGAAGATGGAAGCAAAGACAGGTAGCCTGGGAGGAATACAGAGAAATTGTCGGAGCAGTCAGGGATCAGGTTAGGAAAGCTAAAGCCCTGATAGAATTAAATCTGGCCAGGAATATCAAGGGCAATAACTACTCTGACCCTTGCATCAAGTACTTCAAAGCCTCCCTTTTTGCATTGGTTGCTGTGTAAGCAGAGGCACAGAGTTGCTGAGAGAGGACGTAAATGTTCTTTTTAATATTTGGAGATTGCAGGGGAGAGGAAATAAATTGCCTTTTCCTCCCTCTGACGGGGGTCCCACACTTAGTCACCTAACCAGATCTCTCCAAGAAGTCAAAGTACAAGCTGGCCTGTGTTCATACAGATAACTTGATTTCACAAGAGTAGGAAAGAAAATAGAAAGGAAGATGCAGTGGCTCTTTCCCAGCGAATCAGTAGCTGTCGCATCCCCAGACCGTACCTCAGGTTAGCTTTTATCCTTTTCTCTTGCAACGCTTCCCATAGCCATTAGTTCAAAATAGCTGTTAGTCTTCCTTTGGAAGCAAAGGCAGTGGAATTTTCTGTGATTTGTATATCAGTCCTAGCATACATTTGTGGCTTGCTCCCAGCTGGAGATTTAGCAATCTGTTTCATTCCTGGGCTCAGGTGTATAGGTATGATGAGACACGTTTCTGCTAATTATGTGGATGGCTTGGAGATGGATACATGACACTTTCAGTTAGAGAGAGGATGGTTTGAAAGCAAATACAGACACCTTGTACCTTTCGTCCTAGATTGGCAGGAAATCTTACTAGGCTTTTTTCATTTAGATCATATTTAATAAAAATGTATTGCTATAATAATCTAGTAATTGGTATACTACTAATAATTGGTATACTAAGGTAGTAACCTTCTATGGTGGAGTAACTGCATCAGTGGACAAGGGAGGAACTACTGATGTCATCTGCCTGGACTTCTGTAAGGCCTTTAACACAGTACCACACAACATCCTGGTCTCTAAATTACAGATGGGTTTGACGGGTGGACTGTTAGACAGATAAGAAGTTGGCTGGCTGGCCGTGTCCAAAGAGTTGCAGTCAATGGCTCAGTGTCCAGCTAGAAACCAGTAACGAGTGGTGTCCCTCAAGTGTCGGTACTTCAACCAGTGCTGTTTAGTATCTTTATCAGTGACACAGGTATTGAGTACACCCTCAGCAAGTTTGCAGATGACACCAAGTTGAGTGGTGCAGCTGATTCGTTCAAGGGAAGGGATGCCATCCAGAGGGACCTTGACAGGCTTGAGGAGTGGGCCAACTCATGAAGTTCAAAAAGGCCAAGTGCAGGGTCCTGCACCTGGGTCAGGGCAATCCCCAGTATCAGTACAGAATGGGGGATGAATGGATTGAGAGCAGCCCTGCAGAGAAGGGCTTGGGAATATTGGTAGATGAAAAATTAGGTATGAGCTGGCAACGTGTGCTTGCAGCCCAGAAATCCAGCCGTATTCTGGGCCGCATCAAAAGAAGTGTGGCCAGCAGGTTGAGGAAGGTGATTCTCCCCCTCTACTCATATCTCGTCAGACCCCACGTGGAGCACTGTGTCCAGCTCAGGGGTCCCCAGGACAAGAAAGACATGGACCTGTTGGAGCGGGCCCAGAGGAGAGCCACAACAGTGATCAGAGGGCTGGAGCACCTCTCCTGTGAAGAAAGGCTGGGAGAGTTGGGGTTGTTCAGCCTGGAGAAGAGGAGGCTCCGGGGAGACCCAAGTGCAGCCTTTCAATATATAAAGGGGGATCATAAGAAAGAGACTTTTTAGCAGGGCCTGTAGTGACAGGAGAAGGGGCAGTGGTTTTAAACTGAAAGAGGGTAGGTTTAAACTGCAGGTCAGGTTGCCCAGAGAAGCTGTGGATGCCCCCTCCCTGGAACAAGACCAGGCTGGATGGAGCTTTGAGCAACCTGGTCTAGTGGAAGGTGTCTCTGCCCATGGCCAGGGGGTTGGAACTAGGTGATCTTTAAGGTCCCTTTCAACCCAAACCATTCTATGATGATTTTATTATAATATGAAAGTGCCTAGATGATCTTTTTGACTGCAAAGGGCTGGAAACAATATCTCAGTGCAAACCATTTTAAAGATGCAGAAAGAAGCTGAACACCTGTTTCGGAAAGCAGGAAGCAGAACCTAGTCCAATTTATGATGATAAAGCTTGATGAATCAGAAGGTTAAATACCTTTTGAAGATATCTGGCACCCAGACTCTATTACCAAATTAAGCCACATGTGATTCTAGAGGATGTATGCCCATAAAAATTTACATCAAATAACATTTTTTTACAGAAAAAAAGTGAATTAAATGAAACCATTTAATAAATTCCATATAAAATTAAATCTGAATGTAAAAAAGAAACTTTTTTACTCCAACATAATAATTGTAAGAATTAAACGAGAATCAGAAGCAGGAACACATGACTTATGCATCCAGTCCCACCCATCTTATAAACTTTAGATTTTACTATAAATGACCAAAATTTATATTAAAAAAAACAATTTAAAATGTTCAAGACATTCAATAGTAATTTCTACTTAAGCACAAAACGCTACAAGGAAGTAAATACTAGAAGGAGAATTAAAAGGAACACACTCAGAAAACATTTTTCTTTGGCACAAAAGTCTCACTATTAAGAGAATTGTTTCATATCTGGTTAATTAAAATGCAATATATTAAGATATAGTACCTTATAACACATGCATAGAGCCCGCTGTCTTGTATCACTGTCGGTCGGAACCAAATGGAGTCTTCTTCTTTGCTCATTCTAGTTCCATCAAAAGCTATAGGTTCCTCAAAATCTCCAGGTCCAGAGCTTTTGTACCACATCAAACTAAGTCCAGCACTTTGGGCTAGGGAGTAATTAGCTCTAATATATCCATAAAAGAGTGCACATTTTATACGAACAGGTTCTCCCACAAGAACTTGATATTTCTTGTAATCCACAGACCAGTCAGTGCATCCATCAGCTAAAAGAGAAGAAAAAATGACAAGAGATTATCAAAGGCTTCAGAGAGCACTATTTACACAGCAACCTTTTTTGTGGGAAAGCATTGCATTTGAGAAAAGGTCCATTGAGTGACAAACAGTACTCTTTTGATCCCTGAAAAATTAGCTGCATTTTCACACCATTAATGTCATCTACTTGTCTATGCAGAACAGAGTTATTATGAGATTTTGTGTTAAATTATGATAATTTCTGAGATAACTGAGCAATTGCTCTTTTTTCTTTTGTGGAACTGCAGCATGACCAGTTATAAAATACTGGAGTGAAATTAGTGCAACACAGAGGACATGTGGTACACAGGGTGTCATAATCCATGAATTACATTAATCAAATACCTTCAGGGTAACCATGTAGATGAAAGAAGGTATTACTCAGTCTCAGAAGACATTAGGACAAGGAGCTGTGGCCTAAACTAAAAAGTGTGAAAGTCTGGGTTAGATTTGAAGGAGAAGAAACTATCTTAACAATAAGAGCAATAAGAGCAAATGTGCAAAAAGATACTGCCATGAAAATTACTGTCAGTATTTTTAATGGATTATTCAAGAACAAGTTAAGCAGATCTTACTTGGAATTCCTGACTTTCTAGAATTGCATTACAAATTAATTTAAATTATTAATGTTTTTATGTTTTCCTGTCCTGATTAGCAATAATTCTAGAATAATTTTCATATTCCTCACCTGTTGAATAATGTCAGCCACTACCAATACTGTCCACAATAACTGTTCATCAGAAAGCAATACTAGATTTGTTTGACTTTCTGAATCCCAGCAACAGAACCAAACCCCAAAACCAAAAAAAGCACCCAACCTCCCTCCCTCTTCCCCATTATTTTTAGTTAAGAATACTAAAACAACAAAAGGAGAACAGATACTTTCTACAATGACTTCCTTAACAAAACCTTATGTGTTTTTTCTTAAGGAATTTCAACCATGGAAATTCACCATTAGGTTCATTCACTTAAAACCTTGGTGTCCAGCCTCAGCTAGTTAATCAGGCCCCTGATCCAGTCAGTAGAAAGCAATCAGTACATCCAAAGGACAATTTATTTCATCTTAAAATGAATATCTGTGACTCATATAAGTATTTGGTCTTTGAATTTGCCAGTTCTTTTAATTAACTTTAAAAGAGCTTGGACAGCTAGCTAATTTAGAAAATCAACTTTCACAAAGCTAAAGTCACAGCACATGCCTCTCACCCTAGAGCTGGTTGAATACTGACTTTAACGGAGAATTCAAGCTACTGTACAAAATAAAGCAGTATTAGCACTTTAAACATAGACAATGTTTTCATCTCTTATTTAGGAGAATAGCATGCCAGTTAGTGATTTTTGAGATTTACATTTAGATAATACCACAGTATTTATTACACATAGCAAAATAAGAAAGACGCAAACATCTCCACACACCACTGTGTAAGTAATAGCCTGAGTCGATACAACATTGAAAGATGGAGGAAAAAAGAATAAAATATTTAGAATCAATTTGCATTGTGAACAGAATTCATATAGACAAATATTTTATATATCTTTGCATTGTTTCCTCCTGCATTTACTTTTAAGACCAGGAAAAGACAATAATATGTCCCTGTTCCAATTTTCCTACCCAACAGTCCCTAAAAATTAGTAACCTTTACAAGGCCCTAATAAGACATAGATGTAGTCTTGCGGAAACTGAAGTGAACGGAGACAAGGCTCCGCTATTAGCTTCCCCATAGGACTTAAGAAACTAAATTCCATTTATTTCAGAATTCATTTACATCTTTGATCATTTCATTTTTTGCCTTTCTGAAAGCGCATTCTCTCTCTGATTTGATTCTATTTCTCTCTGTTGCTAAATCCCCATGCCAAAAATGAATTAACAGGCACCTCTAAGCAGCATTAATTTCATTATATATGTTACCAGGTAACAGTTTCTTCATCATACTTTATTATCAAATTGTAATCTTGCCTTTCACTGCCTAATTAAGTTAGTACACTTTGGTTTATAATATTAGTCTGCTAGTCATGTTTTCTCTCTCAGGATATTCAGTTCTAATAGTTCCCAGTTCCTTCAGCTTGATGAATCCATGAGACCATATTGCAGAATAACACCAACTCTCTTCCAAGCCTTCGTATTGAATGAAGGATTAACTATGCCGAGCAGATATCCTTGACTTTATTTCAGTATGCTATTCCTCATAAAAAAGTGCTAAGGATCACTTGCAGTCGAGTTTAGTAGGCTTGGGCAAACATGCTAGCAGGTATTCTGTACTCACATGCAAAACCAGAGAGAACATTACCAAACTTTTGAAAATTAACATTATCAAAGTTCAGTTCCTGAGTTTTAAGGAGAATGTTAACAATATGTAGGTATTGTATTTACATTAATGCTCTGTGAAATAGTTATTTCAAATATATAAATTGGATGACATTTCTATAGAAAGAGAATACAAATCAAAAACTCCTAAATGCCTAGAATTGCCTAAAGTTTCACATTAAGACTTCATATCACAAAGTACATTACATTTTAAGGTAACTATCTATTTGGTCATTTGTTGACACTAACCACACCAGATAGCTTAAGAGAGTATCAGTTCAAGCAAATACGAATACTGGCATGCTCATAATATTATGGATTCGTATTTTATATTTTATCTAGTAGTGTACCCCAGGGGTCAATAATGGGTCCAGTCTTGTTTAACATCTTCAGTAATGATCTGGATGATGGGGCAGAGTGTACCTTCAGCAAGTTTGTTGATGACACAAAACTGAAAGGAGTGGCTGATACACCAGAGGGTAATGCAGCCATCCAGAGGATTCTCTACAGGCTGGAGAAATGGACTGACAGGAACCTCATGAAGTTCAACAAGAAGTGCGAAGTCCTGCACCTGGGGAGGAACAATGCCATGCACCAAGATGTGCTGGGGGACACCCAGATGGAAAGCAGCTTGGTGGAAAAGGACCTGTGGTACTGGTGGACACCAAGTTGAACAATGTGCCTTTGCGGCAAAAAAGGTATGCTGAGCTGCATTAGTCAAAGTATTGCTAGCAGGTGGAGGGAGGTGATCCTTCCTCTTTACTCAACACTAGTGAGGCCACACCAGGGATACTGTGTCCAGTTCCAGGCTCGTCAATACAACAGAGACATGGATACACTGGAGAGAGTCCAACAGAGGATCGCAAAGATGATTAAGGGACTGGAGCATCTCTCCTATGAGCACAGGCTGAGAGCTGAGACTGTTTAGCCTAGAGAAGAGAAGGCTGAGGGGGGATCTTGTTAATGAATATAACTACCTGAAGGGAGGGTGCAAAGAGGATGGAGTCAGGCTCTTTCCACTGGTGCCCAGTGACAGGACAAGAGGCAATGGGCACACACTGAAACACAGGAGGCTCTTTCTGAACATTCGGAAATACTTTTTTACTGTAAGGGTGACTGAGCATTGGTACAGGTTTCCTAGAGAGGTTGTGGAGTCTCCATCCTTGGACATATTCAAAAGCCAGCTAGACATGGTGCAGGACAACCATTTCTAGGTGGTCTTGCCTGAGCAGGGCTTTGGACTGGATGACCTCCAGAGGTCCCTTCCAACCTCAGCCGTTCTGTAATTCTGTGATTTATTACAGTTACATTCAGTGATAATCTTAAGAAAACATATGTCCTCTTCTCAATGTGGTCTTTCAATGAACATGGCAGTGTTTCTCTTCCTGCATACAGAAATATTATACCAGTTAAACTCTGCCAACACTGACATTCCAGTCACTTAGAACTGTATTGACCTTATTACAGCTGGAAGCTTTAATACCTTAAAAATCTTCCAGGAAATACACTACTGCTCAGCCAACATGCCTTCATCTATGAGAAGGTGCTAATGCAATTTTGACAGATACAATAGAAATTCTCGTCATAAGACACAGACACCCTTCTGTGATATTTTATGATAACAGTGATATTTCAGGAGATAACTATCTGTGCTTGAAATGCTCCTATTCCACTGTAACTGAGGAGTATAAACAGAGGCTTAAAACCAAATAATGGAAAGAAAAATAGATTGTCATGTCCTTAAAAATGAGATTACTGTGAACACTCAGACAGATGATAGCATGCATGCACTGTAACTGACACTTCCTATGTATGTTCTACATATGGTGTATAGAGCACACGTGCATTTTTCAGTCTAGGAAAACTTGGATCAGAAATCAAATTAAAATTAAAATTTATTTCCAAATTCCTTGAAGCATGTAAAGATACATTTTCAAAGACCCAAAGACTAATTATATTCATGATGCCTTTTACATTCATAGAAATCTTTAGATTTTTCTATTGACATTGGCACCTTAAAAATGTTACATAATTGCATGTTAAACACTTGTGTTACTGCCTTTATAAATAGGGACAGAGAAAAGCAAAGGCTTAATGTTCATTCAGACTTGTTAATATTAAAGAGACTGAGGGATTTCTATTCAGTTTTGTATTCTAACTGTGGTCCATTTCTATTTTGACTGGATTTTCTTTCTTTCCTTTGTGTATAAGTAGGCCATTGACCAAAGAAAATATCTAGTGTTTCCCTTCTTAGTTATGGCTGCTACCGAAACACAGTCAACACCTACATTTATGCTGGTTCAAAACAACTGTGGGAAAAAAAACACTCAAGACTTTTCAATGTTTTTATTTCTATCGTCACATCATCAAGCAGTCAATCATCTTTTATTTTATTTTATACATTGGAAAATACTTGAATAATTCAACAGCTTTGAAATTTCAGAACTGCCTTCAAATGAATGGTTGTAGTCTCTGATCTTTATTTTAATATGCTGCCAGTTATTGCTACACATAATAGCACAATACGGGGTCCAGGACGAATATCATTCACTCAGTTATTTCCTTGAGTGATTTCAGGGTATGAAATAAACTACACTACATCACTGTCCTAATAATGAGATCGTTCTGCTGGATAAACAAGCTTCTTGCAGGCTGTATCTGCTGATA